GGCAGTCACTGCATTCCAGAAGGTAACCTGTCTCAGCCTATGGAAACGCATTACAAGTTAGTTGTAGAGATCATCTAAACGTATAGCATGCTGTCTTCTTTTAGCACTGAAATATATTTAGAAAAGTGTGCTTAAATGAACAAATAAATAGGCAATGAAGGTTGATCCAAAAAATAGGCAACGAAGGAAGCGGAATGGTAACAGAAGACATGCAAGGGACATCTAAAAAAAGCATGAGTTTGATTAATACTCTCATATCCAAAGATTTTTGGTTGCTTATATAAATTGGATCACGAGTAACTATAATTCTTCAAACAAAAATACAATGAAATTCTTGATTTACCTCGGTGTGTTATTTCTCCTCTTCAATGGTTTCACGGCCAACCAAGTGGCAATTTCTCTGATGCAAAAATATTGTAAGAAAAATGAAGAAACTGCAAGTAGAGGACCTAATTACTATGATTTTTGCGTTACATCTCTTCGAGAGAATCCAGAGAGTCAGAAAGTGAGAAATATTGATGAATTAATCATGGTAGGAACGAATAACGCGATATCAAACCTAACAAACGTGAAAGGAATTATGGAGAAGATTATAAAAGAAAGAAAATATAAGAGTAGCTTGAGTAAGACATTGTTAGAAGGTTGCATTAAGGATTACTCCAAGGCCTATCAACAATTAACCTCATCTTTGAAGTACCTCAAACTGCGGGATTTCGATAAGGCTAGAGATGGTATGTATGACGCAAGAACTGCAATGGTAACTTGCGACTTGGCCTTCAATGGCGACAATCAACAGATATTACCGGTAAAGAAAGAGAACGATGTTGTACTTGACATGATCAACATTCCTTTCTACTTTATTTTCTATGCCCATCAATCATCATCGTAGTAAATGCTAAGTTTTAGTGAAGCGGCTGGTCCTATATAGTACCTAGCAAAGAATAGTGTGTTGCCAGAGTTCTCATTAATTTTTTTTGGATCTTATAATCAAACTATGTACGATTTAAATAGGAAATTTTCATATCCAATTGTATTAAC